AGAGAGAAAAAGGGGGGGGGGGACACACACGCCACGAACCGGCAAATTCTCCCAGCCCATATGACTCGAGCCGGGTCGACCGAAAGAACAAAAAAAAAAAATCGGAGATAATGCGCTCTTCGAGATGATAACGGAGATTTTCGGGAGAGAAAGTATCGCGTCGGGAAGACCGCGTATTTGTTAATTCTCTTATGATAATTTTTTCATAGGACAATGTTTTTATATTTCACGACGTTAGATTTCTTTCGCGAATAAAGAGAGAAATTCGTAAAATGTTGATATTAATATTAGAGCGTATGATTCATCGTCGATAGATTCGAATCTCTTAATCTCGTCAACGAGGACGCGATGCCTCGCATTGTTGGCTGCTCTAGCGGACGAGTAAAATATTTGACACGTTTGAGATCATTAGCAAAGTTATTGTCCGTGCGCGAGTAATTGAAATCAAGGGTGACAAATAAACTCGGAGATGCTTGTGAAACGCGAGAGATGAATCCGTGGATGCGATATAAATGCAGTTGCATCTGACGCGGCGTCGAACAGAATGCCTCATTATCTCGACGCTTGACAAAATCAAAAAGAATTAATCAAACGATCAGAAAAATCATATATATATATATGCCAAATTTTGCTGATTTTTCTGATCGTTTGATTAATTCTTTTTGAATTATTGGGATCTCTTTGAAATTATTGGGATGATGATTCAGCCTAATCTCTCGAATTTAATGTCCTTAAAACTTGGACATCGACTAAAAATCTTCACCTTCAAGCGTAGACACAACTCGGTTGTGTCTCGGCATGAAAGAGACATAAATGAATAAAAATGCACACGCGAAGGTCAGTTTTTTTCTTCGATTCTTCTCGAGAGCGCAGGCGTAAAACTGCCAATTATGGGCAGGCGAATTTTTCGAGAGAGAGAGAGAGAGAGAGACAGAGATTCGTGCCGGTGACACGTCGGTGTCGCGAAGGAGACGAGACCGAGAAACGGAGTCATCCAAGGTCCGACTTTGGCTCCGGCCTTATACAGAGATCGCGCGCACCTGTTTCGGATCCGCCGTACCGGATCTCCTTGCGGATCGGCCGCAACAAAAGGCCGCCGGTAATTACCGTGTGGAGGTTATTTGTCGCAATTAACGGGCTTAATTACTTGGCGATCCACCCGCCTCTACGGTCCGCGTATGCGCATTAAGACATAAACGAGCTTCGAGAGCTCGAAAATGCATCGTCGAAACCGAATCGCGTGTATTTGAAAAAGGGGGAATTTTTTTTTTTTTTTTTTTTTTTGCGGAATTAATTTCCTTATACTTGCAATTAAACCGTATATTTTTTTATATATCTTATCGCCTTGAAAATGTAATACAGGAAAACTAATCTGAGAAAAGATATACTTGCAAATTTTACGATGAAGATATTGCGCGTAATTTTTTTCTCTTTAATTCGCAGAATATTTTTTGATTGTAATGTTTCTAAAGAGAGATAAGTTTGAACTGAATAAATAAATTGACTTCTTTGTACGACATATGATTTTGAAAATGTTATTAATAACAGGAAAACTAATCTGAGAAAAGATACTTGCAAATTCCACGATGAAGATATTGCGCGTAATTTTTTTCTCTTTAATTCGCAGAATATTTTTTGATTGTAATGTTTCTAAAAAGAGATAAGTTTGAACTGAATAAATAAATTGATTCCTTTGTGCAACATATGGTTTTGAAAATGTTATTAATACAGGAAAACTAATCTGAGAAAAGATATACTTGCAAATTCCACAATGAAGCTATCGCGCGTAATTTTTTCTCTTTAATTCGCAGAATATGTTTTGATATCGTAATGTTTCTAAAAAGAGATGAGTTCGAACAGAATAAATAATAAATTGATTTCTTTGTACATGTGACTTTTTAATGTATACCAGTGACACAGAGAACATCGTCTCGAGTTACACAATAATTTTCAAAAGTTTGTCAAGCCTCTTACGACCGAATCTTCAAATAATTAATTTTGTTTTACCTTATACCGACGAAAATTGCGGATCAAAAAACGCGTTTATCTCTGACGCGCGCGAGACAATTTTTCGCATATTTCGAGGAAAAACCTTATCTGTGCCAGGATTGCTAATCACAATGAACATTAAAAACCTGCGAGTAGAGATAGAGAGAGACATTCCTTTGCGATAAAATATTTAAAATCATTTTTGCTGTATTCAAAATGAAAATATATCTCGAAACTTCAAAGGAAGAGGATTGAAAAAAATTGTCGATCTCTAAAGTCACTTTGAATCATACTATATAATGACCTCGATCGAAATCACCAACACAATAATCGAAGCGAAAGGCGAAACTCGAAATTTGCCGGTAGCGTGAAATAAGATACTTCATCGTGTAATATTATTCAGTATTAATATTCCACAGCATTTGTTGGGTATAACATCGCAAAATATTATATAAAGTCGACGATCAATAATCAAGTACCTACACGGAAGAAAAAACCTGTCGAAAGCGACACGCCCGTATTTTGTTGTAATTTTTCGATAGCAAAACTATTTTGTTGCCACTTTGCACATACGTAAAAAAAAAAAAAAAAATGTAACACTCTTCGAGAAATAAATTCGAAATTCGTTACCTTGTCGTCGTAAAACAGTCGGATTAAATTTGCTTAATTATATCAAAGCTGAACATAATTGGCGAAAAATATGCGATCAATTTTCAGGAGAGATTATTCACGATTAAACGACATCGGGGCTGTCGTCGCCTCGTCCAACATGCGGAGGCGTTGATTTCTTCAACGTCAATTCAAATTAATCCTCATTCGCATTGAATTGCACTCGCATATACAAGACATACGTCGTTTCAACGCGTTAAATTCCAAGAGCGAACGTCCGACGCGGACTCGAAGACGACTTTTCGCGAGAAGAAAAGAAGAGGAGTCGCGTCTTTATCATTCTGTAACCGTTCTTATCTCGCATACGCAACGCGAAACAACTTCGTAATTACTTCGCGATACAAACTTTGTCGAAAACCCGACGTCATCTACAGACAATATACGAGTTGTTCCAGAAGTTTCGTGTATTATAATCTTCCGAAAACATATATACATTTTTTTTCGCGACCTAATAGGAATAGAAAATATATTATTTACATTCTCGAGCAATTTAGCAGGACAAATAACGACTCGTCAAGAATTCGACCTTCGCTCGCTCGCTTACTTGTTTTTTTATTCATCGAAACACACAATTATCGTCACACAGTACACGAAATATCCGAGCATATACAATCCCAAGCAGATATAATCACGCGAAGAGAGAGTCGGATCAATGTCACCTTCCATTTAATATACATATTTTCATTTAGCTAATACATTTTCAAATTAAACGAGAATCTCGATATCGGGAATGTTTCGCACGTTCAAATTTTCATTCTACAATTCCGAGCGCGCATCTCGCCTTAAAAATCGCGTAAAAAAAAAAAAAAAAAAAAGCCTCCATATGCTGGGGCTGCGACGACGAGAGACCACGTCGATATGTCGTCACCGCCGTCGTGCATGCGGCACCGCACGTTGCAGAAAGAATCAATATCGCATAAAAGCAGCTTACCTGGAAGCGGACGGCGCACGTGCTCGCACCACGTCGATCGGCGAGGTTATGCCGGGCGGCGCACTGCCGGTTAACCGTGTGTGCGTGTGTGTGCAATGATCGCATGTATGCTGTGTGTGCGTGTGTGTGCAGCGCGCCTCTTCCTCCCTCGTTCCTTCTCCTTCTATCCTCTTCCTCTCTTCTCGCTCCCGTCGATCGATCTCGTCTCGATCGACGTCACTTGTTTCGGAGTTTCACTCGTACGTTGTATTACCGGGCCTCGTTGCTTCGTTAATTGCGACGCGAATGAGAGAGTGAGTGAGAGAGAGAGAGAGAGAGAATAAGGGAGCGCGTGACAGGACAGAAACTTCCCAAGGACTCGAGCCTCGCGCGAGAGCGCGCGACGTTACTCCGTCGCCGTCTCGGCAGCGACTTCCTATCGCCTTCCGATGCCCCCGTTCCCGCCCCGCCGAGTCGTCCCCCCTCCTCCCTCCCCCCGCGCGAGCGATGCGCCTCTCACCGAGAGAGATTCGCGATCTTTCGATTTTCGCCCAAAAAAAGTCCTAACCTTCGAGATGTTCGTTTTCTTTTAAACGTAAATTTCACGTTTAACGCGATAAATGCGAGGGATATCTTTTCTGCTCTTTTCGCAGAATCGCAGGCAAAAAGGAGCCTTGCGTGCCCAACATTTATTCTTGCTCCTATCTCTTTCTTTCTCGCGATTGGGACCAGTGCAAATGGCCGCGTTTTAACACGTCACCAAACACTTGCGATTTTTATTTTTACCCTAAAGAGACACGAATACGAATAAATTTACGTGTTTATTCGTACGTACAAAAGTATGTTACAAACCGAATATATATCCGGACCGCACACTCTTACGAACTCAAACAGCCGACTCCCCTCACGAGAAGGTGCAGTGGCCGGTTACGAAAAGTGCATAAAACCGGAAAACGGAAGGCAGAGAAGGATACAGAGAGAGAAAGAGAGAGAGAAGAGATAAGAACATAGAATTATACAGACACACAGAAAGCGGCAGAGAAAGAGAGAAAGGAAATACGAACCACGCGAAATTTGCAAAAAAAAAAAAAAGAAATAACGATCCTCGAGAAACGCGCAGATAACGCTACATCGCGATCGACGAGCCGGGAGATTCATTTCGGGTAGATGCAGTGCGAAAATAATACCTCTTCCCACGAACGGTCGACGATGAACTGGCCGAACGGCCGTTAGCACGAGCCCGCGAGAGCGATCCTCCGCCACCTCTACAGTCCGCGGTGGCGCGCGACGCTACTAACCGTTCTGCGCTACGTCGGCCGAAGTCCACGCCGGCCGGCCGGTCCCGGCCGAGCGCGGCCGAGTCGGGCCGAGCACGGCCGAGCGCGGCCGAGCCGGAGTCGCGCCGCGGAGCCGCCCGAATTCGGCCGGAAACCGCCGCGCCGCGCGCACGCAAGACGGAGGGAGAGAGAGAGAGAGAGAAGCGGCGAGGCGCGTCGGAGAGCTTTGTACTTTCCGCCCCGTCTCATCGGGAATTCCTGCCGGAATCGCACGCCGCCGCCATGGTCGATCCTTTATCCGCTCCTTTATACGTATATTGTATTATGTACATATGTACGTACACCGAGCGTACGGCGCGAAGTGCGCTGCGCATACGAGCAGCGCGAATGTAGCCGCGATAAGCGGGGACGCAGGTATGTATATATGTATGCGAATGTATGTGCGTGGCCACCGACCCGGTGCGACCGAAATTTTCTGCAATCCGCGTTAAAGATTGCCGCTGTCTTCTGGACAAAGCCGTGAATTCGGCTGGACGGAAGTGTGAATATGAGATAGAAGGGGAAGATTATCGGAGAAGGAGAAACAGAGATAGAATCGTTGCTGCATTCATTCCGTTCGTTGCAGATAATTAAAATTGATAAACCCTCACGCACGATTCGCTTCAGATAATTCCAATAAAAATCAAATTAAAGCATAAGGTTAGGTTAGGATATTTGTTATATAGATCGATATTTGTATGTTAAAAGAAGAAAAAATATTTTTCACGCATGTTAAAACATTTCCTCTCTTTCTCTTTCGAGAGAAAGAAATTAAGTCCATTTGATGCGTTCGTCGGCGAATCATCGACGCAGCCGGGTGTAATTTTAGACGAAAATTTCGCGAAAACGAGCACGATTCTCGCGAATTCCCCTCTCCGGGGATTCCTCGTGAAACTTTCGGCGTGGCCTCGCACCGTATCTCGTGTAGGCGAATCGTGCTTTGCTTATGACAGGACGGGAGCACATTAACGCGCTTAAACGATTCCGCGAAAACGTCCCTGTGTCTTTTTCACACTCTCTTCTCGAGAATGCAATAATATCGAGCGTTTAATAGCTTATGCCCGCATCTCGGGATGTATATCGCGTGGCGGTAAAATATCTGGGACAATGCGTTCTTTATATGTCTCTCTCTCTCTTTTTCCAGTCGCCGAGACTCGCGGACGAATATGGAGTTGGTGCATGAGAAATTGCGTCGATGATAGTATCCTGTCACCGACCGTCATCATATCGGATCGCAACGCAGAGGAGTTAGGTTTCTCCGTATGGCATCGATTTGACGTACCTCCGTTATAATCCTCGTAAGTGCTCGCGAGAGATGTGAATGCACTCCATAGTAATAAATTTATTAAAAAATTTGACTAAATATAAAATAAAATCTTGGAGTATTCTATATGATGCTAGAAATATCCTCTCTTCAATCCAGGAGCGCTATTTATATCCGAGAATAATTTTTGCAGGAATTAGAAATGTGAACGGAGGAGCAGAGGAGAGACAAATATAGAGGATGTCCTAGATTCATCGCTCCTTCATGTTCTATTCACGATTGGTTCTGCGTGCGGCTCCCATATTAGGTGCAATAAATCAGCGCCTGCTTTCTTCGAGTGTGGTTTTTACGAGCCGCCTTACGTAACCGGTGCGTGGATCGCATCTCGATACTATCGATCCTTTCCAAGTGCAAGTCGTCGTACGTGATTGCAACCACGCGCCAGGCCGTTATTACGCGATCTTGTGCAACTGCGGAGCCAGACGTCGAGATGGACGTTCCAGCTAACGTTCGCAACGAGAGCAACGAGAGCGGCGAACACGTTTTCGCAATCGATATCGTCCCCGGGATGAAAGGACGAGGACAACGTAAAAGGATCCTTCTCTCATCAGGGAAACGAGTCGCCGAGGAAGAGAGCCGACTGCGAAAGCGGAGAAAGAGAGGTAGAGAGACAAAGTCAAATGCAAATGCGACTAATAATATGCGAGAAACGTTATAAAGGCACTCGACGTCAAAGGGTACGGGGGCGTGTACTTTAAGCGGCTGCATTTAGAGTCAAGAACGTCGGTCCTCTTCCCCTTCTTTTTCTCCGTCTCGCTCCGCGGAGTCGCGTCGAATCCCGTCCGTTAACAAGACGGCCGATAAACTCTTGACGATTTTAGTTATGCATCCTGGCGAGTGCCCGGGCACAAAGAAGATTCTCTCGATTCCGGTCGCTACTGAGGCCTCCACTCGGCCCTAACAAGATATCCGACCTCCTCTTCGTTTATTTGCACGCGGAGAATTACCGGAGCGATCGAAAAAAAGTTCACCCGCGGTCTTCGAAAAACCGCATAAGCTTGCGAAACTTGTCTAATTATCCGTCAAATCGAATTGACGGATAATTAGACAATTTTGGAATCTGTGTTTCGTTGTGCAACAAACGCTGTGTATATATATATATGTAAGCTTTCTTATTTTTTTCTTTTGGATATATTTACTGCACGGATCACACGACTATCTTACGTCGGAAGTTATCACAAAAGCGTTTTACGTGCTTCCGTGAAGCGGGTCGACATCTTCGAAGGCAGTTAAAAGGCACGTCAATGACTTATGAAAGATAGCAACGAAACACATGGCAGCTGTGACAATGCACTTGTCTTTCTTCAGTTTGCTCTTGTAGACGCTTATAGAAGTTCCTTTATAACGAAGATTGAATTTTTTCTTAACAGAAAAATATTTTAAAAAATAAATTTTTAATAACGATTGACGGGTAGCAAATCGGCTCGGAAAAAATAAAGGCAAGCTTTAATTTCGTTACAATTGATAAACAATTGATTTTGAAAAATTAAAATATATATGTATAAAAAAGGGTATAGTTTTATACTTATAATGCGTAATATATTTTTGGGGAGAAAAATGACAGTTTCACACAACCGAATGAGAAAAGTAACGAAAAGGTCACGGGGAAATTTCCCAACACCCGATAAATGCTCCAGGGAAATCAAAAGTCTGCGGATGCGATCGATACGAAAATTCGACCAATAAAAACCGTACGACGGACCTTTACGAATTTCGTTCGTATATATATACATATATCGGATATCGCGGCGCGTACGATGCATTTTCGTTTCGTGATCGAAGCCGTATTCCGAATCGCGGAAGATTGATAGTATTTAATGGACTCAAACAGCTGCAACGGCGCGAAATTAAATTATCCGGTCGTATCGCTCGTTAACAGGAATTTAATGGCGATTCATCGAATATGTATATACAGAATTACTCGTTGCGCAACGACATGAAATTGGAAGAGACGAGGGAGAAAAGAAACACACACATTTATATATATAAAGAGAGAGAGAGAGAGAGAGAGGGAATAACAATTTTATTCGAGAGTTAACTGGATGGATCTTGCAATTTAAGGGACTAGGTAGCATCGTTTAATGAACTGCAGATGCAGGAGATGTCAAGTGAAGAGGGCGAAAGAACTCTATATACGTGGACAGTTGACACAATAAAAAGAAAGGAACGTGAAAAGGGAGGGAAATAGGAAAAAGTAAAGATAGAAGACGAGGGACAGGCTGAGCGAGGAGATATCGCGGCTATGAGAGTAGAGAGATGAGATAAGACAAGAGAGTGGTTGTATACCAAAGAGATGTGTGACAGTAAGTAGAAAAAGAGAGAAAGGAACAGAATAGGGGCGATAAACGAGAAATGGAGACGGAGATTAGATTCTTCACCCGAATAGACTAAACGAATACTTCACCTACTATCACTTTTGCCGTCGAGATTTGCTTACTATCGCACAGCCGCGTTCATGTTCTCGATGTCCAGCGCGATTATTATCACCCTGACATCAACCATGATATACAAAATGCTCGCAAACGTCGCGGTACATTTGCAACGTAATTTTTCCACTAATATTAAAAGCATCATACATCTTCTATGTATGTATCTCTTCTATCTCTTGTTATTGAAGAATGTAAATTGTCAATAAAAGAAATGAATAGAAAGGAAAGAGGAAATTAAGATGCAGTTCCGTCATCTGCTGAAATGAAACAATAATTTGATACGACAAGAGATATCGCGCGCGACGATGAATCCATGAAACCACTTTATATATACCTATTATATTAAGCTCCGATATCAGAAATGACAGAGCACAAATCTATCGGTTTCTATTCTGCACGAACGATTGAGCAATTGCATCCCGAGGGATGCACTGTTCCGCAGCGTATACGTGCTCTATCTGCGTTCTCGTAGACTTCGCGGTCGCAGATATAGGAAGCAAAGTGAAATCAAGTGTCGCGAAGCTATGTAGTACTAATATTAGTACCAAGTTCTTATCAGCGAGTAACGAGAGATGGAAGCGACCGGTTCTCTCTAACAAGCCCGTTGAAAATGCCGGAGATGTTACTCCCTGTGTCCGATCTATCTCTAGCTCTCTCTCTCGGTTATAAACGCGCTATTTATACATCCGTATACAAGTGTGCCGGCACACACCGTATGCCTGAAATTTTAATGCCGGGGAACACATTCGTCGGCTCGTATAACGCCGAGCTATATCCGACCTAGAACTATATCGCGCGTATCGCGACCGAGGGCAGGAGAAGGAAGGGTATTGCACGATGGGAGGCGGTGGAATAATCGTGGGGTGTCCAAACAGTAACAATAATAAAATATCAGGTTGTAATGAGAGAATTCTTTCATCTTTTTTTTTTGTTTCAACAGTAGAGAGAATTTTGTCATAGAATTCACCCTGAAAATTATGATAATCGTAAGACAATATTGAAAGAATTTTGCAAGTATCTCTGAAATATTTGTCACAATAAAAAATATTAATATCCACCAATAAAATATATGTTCCCTTAATTTTATTGTGTACATATTAATATTAATCAGAGAAATTGATAAAATTCTTCCAATGCCATATCGTCCCACGATTAGTAAAAATAGGACTCAACGCGAATAAAGAAATATTTTCAGGCGCGAATCAAGTTATTCGAGATTATTTCGCTCTCGCATAATGCATGATGGTATTAATCGTTTACGACGAAGAGAAGAGGTGGAAAGAGCATCCAGATGCGTAGGATTCGTTTCGAGCGAAATTCTTTTTCCAGGGCCGACGTGGAAATTAATTCGCAGACCTCGTGTGTATAGCCTCGCGCGGCTGAACCGGCACCGGTCGCCGTGGTATGCCGCATACGATCGATAATCGACACACTATCGGGCTGCCGACCCAAATGGAAATTTTATATCGGGCTGGCTTGGCGACCGATCAAACGACAAATCGTATCCACTCGGTCGCGACCGGCGATATTAAAGATTACAAATTACTAACGTCGAAGTAACTCTAGTATATTTCACATTCTCCCTCTGTATTAAACTATAAACTTTCATTTATTGACGTCATCAATGAGAACAAACCGTTCGAGCGAAGGAGCGACAAGCTGGAGACGCGCAAATTCAAGAACAATATCTGCTTCGAAACTTCTCCGCGAACTATTCGCGGGATTTCGAAATACTCGTTCCTGATGAACGATTCTCGAATTCGATTCGATATCAAACATACATACATATATACATACACTCGATTGATTCGAGAGAGAATCGCCTTATATATATATATATATATATATTGATTAAGCCGCACAGGCGGCGAAGTGTAAACCTCGCATCGGCTGATTATTCACACTCGGCATTAACCAGGTGTACCGAATGCTAATGCGCGCCGAAGCAAGGTACTCGAGCATCTGCTTAAGCAGCCCTTCGCGATCGCTTCTCTCTCTCTCGGGGCCCCAATCTTTTCCCGATCGCAAATCTCAACGACTCAATTCGCAGTCGCGCGTAAGCGCCTTTCGATCTCTCGCTTCTGCTTACTCGCCCCGGGTTATCGGGAATAAACGTGTGTGATTCATTCGACAGTCTCTCGGTGTCCGTTCGGTTGCTTCGCGCGAATCGAAAATGAATTCGAGTCTTGTATTGGTTTTATTCGCGATTCCGATTAAAAGAAATATTACGGAATATGGAAAAATTTGCGATACAATCGAATTATATTTCATATATACGCGAACCAGCCTTCAAATTTAATTAAAACTCTAGACTGTTCAACTCGTATTGAACTTATTTTTACATAAATAGAGGAGCGGAATATATATACGAATTATTCTAATATAAAACTTTGATAGCTTTATAGCATTCGAAATTTCCTCCCCAACGATAAATTTTGTATTGAAATATATGAAAGACGTTTCCTTGGGATTCTCATGCATGAGACAAGTAAAACCACTTTCGGGCTAACGTTAGCTTTTCGCTTCTTCTTGTTTTCCGCTTTATTATTTTTTTTCATCGTTATAAAACGTACGCTTTCTCCAGTAATATATTGACGCTCTTCCAGTCGGACTTGTCTTTTGCATTTCGCGACGCGTATATATATACGGGCATAACGTAAACGAAACGACTGTTCGTCCATCTCGCCCTGTGCGTTTTCATTCTCCCTCAGGAGGGCTGTAGCAACTATTCGCATCGGCCATATCAGCCGGGTGCCAATAACGTACCGGGCAGATGGGAGATGTGGTGAGGACCGGGTGGTTGTTGGACCGTCGAACTCGGGATGGGGGCGATCGGAGGGATGAAGAAGGGGAGGCTTTACCATCCGCAGACTCGTATTCATCGATCACCGCGCCCGGCTAATTATAGCGTTTCGCCAAACTCGCGTTCCTCGGAAGGGCGATGATCGCGATTAACGCCCTCGGAAGAAAATTATATATATACGTACTTGCGCGAAACACTGCAAATTTTTCCCCAAAAGGTTGGAGAACTCTTCCATTTCATTCCTCTCGCGATATCGCGCGGGTGTGTGCGTTGACAGAGATCAGCTGATTAAAAAAAAATATATATATATGTATATAAGATTTATTTGCATATTTAATATAAAAATGAAAATTAAAAAAATTAGGAAAGA